TTTTGACTTTGGACTTTAATTAAAGTCTGAGCACTTGGAATCAGCATAATTAAAGTCTGAGCACTTGGAATCAGCATAAACGGTGCTCGCTTCTGACAACACGAACTTTTCATGCGATTATTTATGTAATCGAAGCAAAGTGTCGTCGTATATTGGGAGGCATATTCGACATCACTGTCATTCGTCGCTGCAGTGAATTAACAACTTTTTTTTTGTTTACAAATCGTCATGGAATTCGGCGCCTCGGTAAATGTGTTTAACGGTACATTTACCACTTTATCTATTAATTTCGCCGCCAAGTACATATGCAATTATGAACCGCCTCCACCAGCTAGAACAGCAATTGAAAGAAAAATGTGACCGAAACAAATCTAGTACGTTCTCAACGTATCCATATGAGTGAATTACAACCCAGCACTTGGAAATTAGAGCAAAAAATGTGATCTTTTGTCGATTTTTGCTATTTATTTTTTCAACAATTGGCATTGGGGAACTGTATGCAATGGTTTCTTATGACAAGAGAGAGAGAGAGAGAGAGAGAGAGAGAGAGAGAAGGTAGCGTAGTCGTCACGATGTCATTTTGACAGCATCCACCAACTGTATTTACGTACTCATGTATTGTATTGTCGGCGTAACTAAATCAGCTACTGTACATCCGACAGAGGTTTTTTCAAATGTCACCAGTAAATACCACAGTAATGCTTGGATTCAAAATATGTTATAAGTGTTTGGTTCCAAACCATCATTTGAACGATTGATGAGAAACACATTGTTGAAAACAAAAGACGAATGAGTCTGAATGGATATTTTGAAAAATCAATTTCAAGATAATTGAAGAGAATGAAGAGTAAATTACACAGTGTAACCAAGTATATGTCCCTATCTACTTTCCGAGATGATGGCATGAAAGTACTCCACTCAAATGAATTCTTTGAAACTTCATGTGTATACAGATTCTCAATGAAATTTTGTTTTCCCCTTGATAGCTGTTACGCCGGAACAATTAAATAATGAGAAATGGGAAATAGCTGAAATTGCTCGTTCTTTTTCGGCGAAATTCAATGTTATAGAAGAGTCTTCTGAGAAGACTCACTTCAGTTTATCCAATACACACGGATTGAGCTATCACACAAATTGGAATCAGCATCGATTTCGACTGTTCGGAAATATATTTGACGGCACATTTATTTCATCTCATTTATTTCGCCAAATTCATAGGTGGTTACAGATGGAAAATTTAATGAACCACCTCCATCAGCTGAGGCAACAATATAAAGAGAGACAAAAACGGACTGAAACAGCTCTAATAACTGTCATTGACGCATCTATGTGTAGTAGAAGTACAATTCAAACACAAACATATACAATTGATTGAAAATAATAAAAACAAGTGAATGCATGTAGGATCCCGATTATAAGTAGCAACAGCGAATCATAGGTATCACATACAGCGTAGTTTGCGAATACTGCTGAAGCAACAATTTTTGCGCTTATCTCCAGACTTGACGAGAGATATTTTTTTGTAATACTTTGTCTTTTCTTCAAGTGCTTCGAATATCACAAATTGTAAACATGGTCCGAGCATGGTACATGGATAGTGAAAACACCGATCAACGATTGGAACATCATCGCAATCCACCGAAATTCCTTGAACTAGACGAATTGTACAAGAAAACTGGCGTGGAATATTTCCAGGTAATTTTCCATGAAAATATCTAAAGCTTCGAAATGTTATTGTGGTTTTTTCTTTTAATTTCATATGCAGTTGAATGCCGATACGTTCCAAATTGACGGAAGCTTGGATAAAATTCGCAAAGAACGCAATTATTCCTATGAAGATGAGGTAAAAATCGTTGAGTAATTAAGTCGAGACTGTGGCATTTTACCGGCATTATAATTTTCGTAACGAAAAATCTCTTTCATTCAGATCATCTGTTCAAAGGATTGCCTTCCGGACTATGAAAACAAATTAAAATCATTTTTCACCGAACATTTGCATTCGGACGAAGAAATTCGATTGGTTGTTGATGGTTCCGGATATTTTGATGTCAGAGAGTAAGTGAAATAAATGTGAAAATCCCGAAAATAAAACGAATTTTTACAAATGCAATTTTCAGTGGCAACGACGAATGGATCCGTATTGAAGTTGTTCGTGGTGATTTAATCGTGATTCCAAAAGGGATTTATCATCGCTTCACATTGGACTCAAATGTACTTTCAATTTATTAGTTAATTTTATTTCATTTTTAGTACGTATATATATTCTAAATCAACATATTTATTTTTTTTAGAATTACATAAAAGCCAAGCGCTATTTTATCGGTGAACCAGTTTGGTTGCCATACAACCGTCCAGCTGACGAAATGACAGTGAGACAGGAATATTTGCAGCAATTGCAAAAAGGATTCTAAATAACTATGTCCCGATCAAAAGTCTTCCTCGATCAATTTGTAAATATCAATTTTTAAAAGACCAAAGAAAAAACGAGAAAATCCAATAAAAATAAAACAATGTCAATCAAAATTGACATGAATTCGAATTGAAATGTCTTTGAATGCGTTCGTTTGTGTTGATAGACAAGATGGCGCTGCTGGGCAATGTGGTATTGAAGTTCATTGTTCTGTCCATCTCTTTCGCTCTAATGTTGATTCATCCATTGAAATGTCCCGTCTCTCGGTTCGTCTCATGTTTTTTCGTTTAATTCGCAATATATAGACACTTGACACTGAATTACACACCAATAGTCAATTTCAATAAATAAATGTGAAGTAATTCCCCGTCTGACATAGGCTGTCTGTGTGCGTTTATTTGTTTACTGTACTCTCTAAGTGAGCGAAATCCAAATAATTAACATTCTTAATCAAAAAAAGTCAGAACCAAAATAAATTTCAAGTTTGAACGGGTGTGAAATCAATTGAATTAATCGATCAAAATGGCTAAAATGGCATTTCAACATCAGGCGGGCACTGCCATGGAGTGTCTTAGTGTAAGTATAATCATCGTCCGATGTTTTCACTCCGGAATAATGGCAGTAAAAAGGTTTCCTTGGTATTGGCCATTGCTAAAATAAGGCAATGGATAGTGTTAGGATACTATTGGAAAAATTGCATTATTTTTTTTTCTGATTGGATATGGCTCATACTGATGAATGCATTGATTCTTCATTTAGATTCCGATCGTAGTCCATAAAGAAATGGATTACGATGCCGAAGGCAAAGAAGTGCTAAAATGTGGCTTTAAAATTGGTGGTGGAATCGATCAAAACTATAAGAAAAGCCCACAAGGATACACAGACAATGTAAGTTGACGCAAGTGGTGCATTCGTCCGAGACGATGAATTCGAATGAAAATAAAATTTAGTTTTATACTACTGTTTGTTCAACAATTTAGGGCATCTATGTGACCGATGTGCATGAGGGCAGTCCAGCATCTCGAGCCGGTTTGCGTATGCATGACAAGATCTTGCAATGTAATGGATACGATTTTACAATGGTCACGCACAAAAAGGCCGTCAGCTACATTCGAAAGCATCCCGTTTTAAATTTGCTGGTGGCTAGAAAAGGTGTCACATCGACATAAATACGCTACACAGCCCAGATGATTCAGCGTAAATAGAGAAATAAAGACCGAACATCGAGCGCATCGATTATCCATCCATAAATCCAAATGAAGCGATGAAACAAATCATAAGAAAAGAGAAAAAAATATATCAGCGCACAGAGAGTTAAGCTAAAGACAAAGTACTAAACGAATTCCAGATTTATACACATAGAGAAAAGAGAGAGAGAGAGAGAAAAGAAAACGTGTATTATTATTGTTTTCCGAATGGTGTGTTTTTTTATAATTTTCAAATTTTATACTTGTAGTAAATTATATACAAAATGTGTATGTGTGTTACATTCTAAAGAAAACTAGAAAGAAATAGGAATTTTTTTTGTCGAATTTTTTGTTCGTTTATAGGGAATTTACAGATAATTTTTCTTTAAGCCTAAGTAGTATTAAATGAAGAAAAATAAGAAGAGAAGAAAAGTGAAAATGAGAATGAATTAGCTTAGAAATGGTGAATAACAATTCAAAGCATCTCCACAAATACCTTTTTGCATATTGATTAAGCATTGATTAATATTATCAGATTTTTTTTTGTTTAGAATTCTATCGTTTACATTCAAAGAGAATATAAATGCAAATATGTTTAAGATGAACTGTTAAATTATTATCCTCCTCCACCTGCTCCTCAGTGCATATAAAACGAATGAAAGAAAAAACAATAACATAAAATGTAGACGAATTTTTGCTCGTCCAACTTATATTTTTCAACTTATTTTCCTCCAAAAAATAAAAACTCTTCCAGTGAAGTTCTCTCACACGTTTTGAGAATATTATTTCAGTACTGTGACAGTAAACAATTTTCTTTTGTTCATTCCATTTTGAATTGAAATAAAATGAAAATATCCATTTAAATCGCATTGCCCATTTTATTGCTTGTGTGATTTCACTCTGTCCATTCGACGAGGATAAAGGTGTGTTTTTATACCGAGTGAAAGAGAAAAACAAAATTCTTTAATCGAAACGAGAACTAATCGAGACATTAAACGTTCGGCTATCAACACAGCAGAACGAGACCAAGCCATTGAACGCATCCATTTTCACAACGTGTGAGAATCGGCTAGACGTCACTCATACAGTAGATGCAGTACTTGTCTTTCTAAATTCCAGATTCAAGTTTTTGGTGATCTGTGAACTGTGTATATTTTTTTTGTTAAATTCAAAGGGAAATTACAAAAATCATGACGGAAGAAGAAGCAGTAAGTACATTTCACGAACTAAATAATCGGATTGAATATTGTGTGATGCAAAAAAATCGGATAGTTTTATTCGATGTGACCATGAAATATATATGAATTTGCAAATGAAATGTCGTGTTTGAAAGGTGTTATTAGTGGGGCGAATGGAAATGTGCAATTTTGATAAATTCCGTGAAATATGAATCAAAGCCAATGAACAAGAGTAATTCAAATGAAACGCCACAATTTCAAATAAACAACCAAAATGCGATAAGTAAACCATAAACATCATATATAAACTCAACTGAAAAGCCATACGAAGATGAATGAAGCAAATTGCATTAGTCACAAGCAAATTTTGAATTGATAGCTTGTGTTGGTTTACAAATCACATATTGGCATTACATACGGCGCAATTTGTAATCAGCTGCCCCCGATCGTGAGCTCATTTGTACACACAAACCGAATTCCGAACATATTTTTTAGGCTGCCATTTCACCACTGAAACATGATATTGAATAATCAATTTCGAATGATTTCACAAACCTAACCTCAAATTACATGCATTTTCCCTTTGATTTGATTCGACACATGCACATTTTGAAATTGGTTTTGATGGTTTCGTGAGAAAGTACTTTTACGGCGAAAAAATGTGTCATCATGTTTTGATGGATTGTTTTGTGTGTGATTGCAATTTTCTGATCTTGTGTCTATCGTTCGTTTGGTTCTATGTAGATTTTTGATCCGGCTTTAGTTAAAAAGAAGAAGAAGAAGAAGACGCCATTCGATTTGGATGCGGCTCTTGGCGATAGCAATGCCGATAATGCTGACAAGGACGAAGGTTTGTGCGATTTTCATTTGTTTGTGTGCCAATTTCAACAATTCGCATTCAATTTCGTCATAATAATGCCTGTGTGTAATATATTGGAATCGTTTTTGTTTCGTTTGTTTGCAATCCTAGGCAAGGAAAATGACGGCGGCGCAAATGAATTCGATGAAAACTTAGATCTGGAAAACTTTGGTAAAAAGAAGAAAAAGAAGAAGAAGCCATTCAATCTGGATGAATTGGAGAACAATTTGCCATCCGGCGAAAGTGAAGACAAGAAAGAGGATGCGGTCAATGATGCAGCCGGCGATGAGGGCGGTAACATCGAAAATGACTATGACCTCGATCTAGACTTCTCGAAAACCAAAAAGAAGAAGAAAAAGAAGAAGGAGCTCGACGAATTGGTTGCCGAAAAAACGGAAGAACAACTACAAGTCCAATCCGAAAATGGTAAAGTTAACCTCATTTATTATGGTGCACAAAAACAACAGCCAAACATTTAATAACACACGTCAAATAAACATACATATTTCTCTCTAACTTCATGCAATCAAAGTCGAGGAAGGAACAATCCTTGATACGGGTATTTAATTATATTCGATTTTCGATTTTATTTTTTTCGGTTTTGATATTTTGTTTGCATTTTTCTTGTGCTCATTTCATAATCCATCTCTTGACACAATTCCGAATAATAATTATTGATTTATTTAATTTTGCAGTCGAGGAAAGTAGCACAACTTGGTTTGGTTCGGATCGAGATTACACGTACGACGAACTGTTGAGCCGTGTGTTTGAAATTATTTTGGACAAAAACCCTGACATGGCAGCTGGCCGTAAGCCAAAATTCGTCATGAGACCACCACAAGTATTGCGTGTCGGTACGAAAAAGACATCGTTTGCCAACTTTACAGATATTTGCAAAACGTTGCACAGGTAGAAACCATTGGATAGATTTCTTTCATCCGACACATGAAGTTGCATTGGATGATAATAAATTTTTGTGCGCGTTTTTTGTTTGTTTGTTTAGACAACCGAAACATTTATTGGATTTCTTGCTAGCTGAATTGGGTACGAGTGGTTCGATGGACGGCAACCAACAATTGATTATCAAAGGTCGATTCCAGTCGAAACAAATCGAAAACGTCTTAAGAAGGTATGGACTTACCATTTCCGCAGAATTTTTGTCTGTACCTCAATGACTTACCCATCATTTCTCTTCTAATTTATTTTTTTTTCTGCACAGATACATCAAAGAATACGTCACCTGTCACACCTGCCGCTCACCCGAAACCATCCTCCAGAAAGACACGCGTCTGTTCTTCTTGCAATGCGAATCATGCGGTTCACGATGTTCGGTGGCTAGTATTAAGTCTGGTTTCCAAGCTGTGACCAGCAAACGTGCCGCCATTCGTGCGAAAACGGCTTAGAAGCGATTTTTAAATTTTCCATTGCACTAATCGTGAGAACATTTATTGGTATACAAAGAGCAACAACAACAGAAAAGAAAACCATACTGCAGCAAGTTGAATGATTGATTTAATTTTATATTAATAGAAAATGAAACGAATTGAATTTGAACAAGAGTGACTAAATGAAAGAAATTACATTAGAAATCGTGTCTATTTCGACATTATTTTTTTTAGTTTTTATGCGCTGGTTCAACGTCCAAATTCTTTTGTTTTTGTTTTTTTTCGATAAACAAATGTAACAAGTGGAATGAAATCAGTACACAAACATATGCAAAATAATAACATTGAATTGATTCAAATTATACGAACAAATCCCGTGTATTTATTTCAATCTATCATTTATCTTCTTTTCGTAGGAAATCTTATGTCCTTCTACAACATTTAAAAAAAGGTTGTGGAAATTCGCATGGAAAATGTTTTATTCGCAAGGCTTGTGTGCATCGCATCTCAAAACGAGAAACGATTTCGTGTGTTCAGTGGCTGTGTTCAGTGTCACATCGCATTTCGATTGGTTTAAGTGTTTGAGTTGGCACACGTTGCGATACACTTGGTGCAGTGCAGTGAAAATCTTCAGCAAGGACCAATGGCCTACTAGAGAAATAAGCGTGCAACTACAAAGCATGAATCGCACAGCCAATCGCCAAAAAAACAAATGTCAATCGTCACAACTGTCAATATATGCTACAATCACCAACACATTCAGCGCAAAACATGTGTCCAATAGATTGAAAACTGTATTTGTTAGTGTGTATTTCCATTTTCTTCAATTTGTTACCTCCTTTCATATATGTGCTCCACTCCGTGACACTGCACACACACACACACACACACACACTTTGTGTGTATACAGATAGAATTCGATGTGTGTCATTTCCTTCAGTTCTTTCGTAACGTTTCGGTTGCCGGAAGTTTTATTCTTAGACCATGTTTCTGATTGCAGAAAAAAAACAGCAAAACATGTGCGATAGCAAGAATATCGAATAAAACTGTGTGTACATAAAGTGTAAGATAAGAAGAAAGTGATAAAATCTAATGTGACTAGTCATTGCGTACCTTGTTTCAATGTGCTGTCAAATACCAACGGGATGAAATATACCGTTTTCAACTGTTACCGAATTTCCAACAAGTATGGTATTTCATTATTCCTTTGTTTCATACAATTTTTGCGCAAGCAATGAAACAGATTAGGTTAAGGACATGAGTAATAATCGAGTAATTTAATAACTTTCATTATGACGGATTTCGTGGAACAATATTAAAAGAGTTTTATTCTAGAATTTTTTTTAAATGAATTCAATGACAAAGAATTTTTTACCACTGAATAATTTCTGTAGACCGAAAAATTATCGCAATTCAATCATCGGCATAGCAATGAAAAAGAGGAATGAATTATCAAAAGTTGAAAAATGGCACACTTGATTGCTCAATACTAAGGAAATACCATAAGAAGCCTGATCTACTTTGGTTTTAATTTTTTTTATTGGTACCACATGATGCGACAAACATTCCAAGTTCTTCGAATCCGCAATCGATATCAACAACAACCCAGCAATCAATTCAATTATTTATCATACACATATCAAATTGGTGTTTGTTAGTTGGTATGTCATGAATCGTTTTTCCAGGAAATTGATGCATGACCACTCTGTCAATTTAAGGAAGAAGACGTAAAAATATGCAAACCATACACGTAAAATTCACCGCGTTAGACATTTGTGCGAAATTTATAATGCGATAGCATGACACGGCAAACGTTGTGCACATGAAGACATTGGCTAAATAGAAGCGAAATAGAAATAGGAATGTGTCGCTGTGAATCCGTATCTCTCGTAGTATTTTGTTGCTATTGTTGTTGTTGTTGTTTCCAAGTCCACAAAACACTCTTTATTCATGTGCGAATAAATGATTGAACGTTTTGTAAGTGCTTTCATGTGAATACATTTGAAACGCCATATTAGTGCGACGGTTTCTTTTTTTTTTAATTCTTCGGTTTCAGTTTTAGTAGTTGAATAGCGTGATACTTTGGTCAAACACATAAAAAAAAATTGTTGCTATTTCACAAATCCATACGTAAATGACGACAACAGAGCGAAGAGGAAAAAAATTGTGCGCGCTGCCTCTCGCATATTATTTTTTTTTTCCGTTCATTCTCTCGTCTTCTCTATTCAGTCGAGCAGTTGTGTGTGTATATATGGCGTGAACACACATACGCCACATATCTTGCTATATTGACTTTTATGTGTTTGTCAATGGATTTACAATGAGGTTGAAGAATCGGTTGGCGCGCGCGGTTTGTTGCTTTGGTGTGCTCAAATTTGAGGCACTCAGCGTTCGGTGTTGATTTTAGTGTATTTCATGTGAGACACCGACAAGCATCGATTTGCGAGGCTCTACTCTTCTTCGCTCATTATATATATATCGTGTCGCGCGCGTGTCAAGACTCGGTGTGTACCGCAAAATAAGTGAATCGAGTGAAATAGACTCTAAATGAAAAATAAACCGGCAACTCACATTTCAACCGCAATCGTTTTAGTCGCCTTAAAATCATTACGATTGAATTTTCTTACCCGAAATAGATATTTCATTAAGTGCAATCATCTCAACGCGAATTGAGCTCAAACTTACCGATCTATTCGGAACACAAATCACACGGGGTATGCTGGTTTTTCGTTTTTGTTTTTAGTTATTATTTAGCGCAAATTGAAATTTCAAACGATCGTGATATTCGTTCAAATGGGTTCATTATTTTGGATTCGCTTTTGATTATTGTAAACGTGTGTGCTATGATGATCGCACAATCTGACAGATAACTGCACACCTCAACAGATATTACATCATTCGGTCAAATGTGCGGTTTCTCCTACATATTTTTTTACAGTGCTTTGAATCACTATTTGGTGTTGTCTTGTTGTTGTTGTTGTTTCTTCATCGTTAGAACAAGTTCATATTTCGTTTCGGTTCGTTCGTCACATTTTGAATGGAATTTTTTGATTTCATTTGCAAAAATTTCGTCATCAGAATAGATTTTGATGCCTATCTCCGTGTGTGTGTGTATGTTTCTCTAGTGATACTTTGATTTTATTTTTTTAATTTCGTAATTCCATAAACATAAATCATTTCATCCGTTCACGCAACAGCAATCGTGGAAAATATTGTGTGGTGACAGAGAGAAAAATCGACACCAAGTGTACAGCCGGTAGCATTTCTCACAGTTCATATTGAAATAGTTTCACCTTTTGATATTAAATGCTTAGCGATACCGAGCATTCGGATAAATTGCTATCGTTCTACAAATGTGACACAGTTCCTCGTAATAACGATTTGTGATTTTATATGTTTATGACGGTAGTTTCATGCGAACAAATATAAATCACATGTCTATATAACAAAATAATCATTGACTTAAATGTCATTCGATTTGGAGAAGCGTAGCAAAGATAGAAATTGCAATGCAGAGGAAGGAAGAAAGCAGGAAAGGAAGAAAGGAATCGAGCGAGTGACACAATTACCACGTCACCGAATCGCAATTGGAAAAACAGATCATTAGGCAAACAATTTGAAAACGATTTGGTGGAATTGAAGAAAAAGCTCATTTCGATTTGTGTACATTACATTGGAGAACGTGTGCCTCCGTGTGTGTGTATGTGTGGTTGTTTGTATTTTGTTTCTAAACCTTTGAAATTGTATTTGAAAAAAAAATCGAATAGAGTTGGTTGCTGATCGATCGGGAGCGGGAGTGCGGTATGTTGAATGTGGCCTGAATTTTTCATTGTAAATGGTCGTCGGTTGTTTATATTGTTATCAAGCCGTCGCTGAAAATCGACATAGTTAATATGTATCGGGTTGAGGGTGCCCGAACGAACTCAAGAGAGAGAGATAGAAAGAGAGAGAGAACGAGAAAATAATTGTATAATCGATAAAATCAACTACATGAATCGAAATCGCCTTCCATAATATATATTTGTACAATTGCGTTTTTACATATATGGAAGAACAGCACAGTTCAAAACATGTCTCATTCCACCTGGCTTCTTTGCCTGGCCCATGCCACATGCCAACCGCTCTATGCACCAATTAATTTATTATTGGTTAAAAAGAAGAATTCAAGTATAAACTGGAGACCTACAGAGTTGGTTTCATAAATACAATGAAACATTTCTATTGATTTTCTCGTCTCTCGTCTCTCTCTCTCTCTCTCTCTCTCTCTCTCTCTCTCTCTCTCTCTTTCTCTCAACAATTCATTATAAACGAAACGAAGAAGAAGAATTTGAAATGAACTAAACCGGATCCTGAAATGTTTGAATTTGAAACGATATTTCATGTTTGAATAATTGATATTCTAATGCCCTTGCAGGCCATCAAAACTACGATGATGATAAAGTTCAAACCTTATCATTATTCGAATTGCAACGCCGAACGTCGCACTGAATTCAACACAATTTAAATATAGATACACGTGTTCATTCACATCCCATGGACAGCGAAAATGAACGAGCGAAACGCATTCGACTCAATTTCAGGTCGATGTCGTTGGCCCCACCCCAATTTAGTGCTGGGTCGTCCTATATACCAAAATTTAGTGCTAATTTAGTGCTGTCGATTGGTACCTACCATAATTTTAGTGCTGCCCTCTATGCGAAAATTTTTGATTTTGAAAAAACTGACCATGTCGTTTTGGCCACTTTGTATGGGATTTTCTCGAAAGCTTGACATTATCGATTCCTCGTATACCCTACAATTTAGTGCTATTTTAGTGCTGCCAAATGACACCCCCCACGATTTTGGTGCTGCCCCATGGACGGGTATTTTTGAATTTTTTCGAAATTTTCATGTCATTTTTTTTCACTTTGTATGAAAACCACCCTAACGCTTGACTATTCTGATTTCTCGTATACCCCACAATTTAGTGCTATTTTAGTGCTGCCAAATGACACCCCCCACGATTTTGGTGCTGCCCCCTGGACGGGTATTTCTGATTTTTTTCGAAAAATCGCATATCAAAATATCGATTGGCGTATTTATTGCAGAAAAACTGGTCAGGGGGGCATGATTTTTTCAGATAATTCATTCAAATGACTCTAAAAAATTACACGACGTCCTTTTCGGGGCTGCTCCTCACCTTGGAGAGATGGGAGAGTTTCAAAAAGTAAAAAAAAATTGCTCAAAATTATTACAATTTTAGTTCAAATTAAGGTTTATATTCCGGAGAATTAAGGTACATGTCATCAGCACCGCCCGGAAATAGTGCTGGTAAACCAGAATATGTAAAAAATAGTGCTCGAATAGTGCTGTCGAATGGCGTTTTCAGTTTGCAAAAATCTTGTCTGGTGGCCGAGCGATAATTGTAGACATTTTCGGAAAAATTGGTTTTCGGTACATTTTCATGGCAAATGTCCGAAATCGATTTTTTTCGGATGAATGCTGGTGTAGCAATATCGGCACTGCATCTAGGGGAATATCACGCTCCTGAATCTTGTGAGATATTTGAGATATTTGAAATAAACATCAATTGTATGACATATTTTCGAATATTTCGAATAAATAAATCAGATTTTTGTGGACTTTGGAGATATTTGAGATTTTTTGCATTAAATCCGAATAAATACATTTAAATATCGTTCATAATCACAAAAATCCACAATATTCCGCCATATTCACAAATATCCACCATATTTCATACGACAGATTCTTAGAGATAAATTGGATTTTTTTGAAATATTTGAAATAATTTAAGCGTGATATTCCCCTAGCACTGCATTCTATTGCTACCTATGCTTTCTTATTTCTTTTTGTGCACATACACAAATTTGAGCACATTTGCGTATATGACGTCGTCGACAATAACAAAGATATACCATTTCGACCTTTATTTTATTGCCAAATTTCCTTGTCGAGATGTTGAGAAGTATTAATGTGTTTTGCATTTTATGCATCTTCGCAAACGCATTCTTTTCTTATATATTTAGTTGAAACTATTTTCTTCAATAGTCCAACCCAAAAATAATAACAAGGTCAATAACAAGGTCGCTTTCTTCGTATACAAATACATGGAAAAGATTTGACGTAAGACGCCAAGACGCCACTACGCGTGGAATGCTCGAAGCTGTCATCGTACACATATTGAACACGAACATTGTCGTTTACACAATCGCACTCACACAAATGAACGCATCGATAGTGCCCGCTCAATATATGTACGGTGAATGTTTTGAGTGTCCCTCGCCTAGAGTGCTGCGTGTCGTTTTTCTTCGTTTATTAAGCGATCTTGTCAATAATATTTCATTTAATTGGTTACAACTATTATTGAGTGGGAAAATATCGAAGAGTATTCAAGCATGTACGTTTAAGAATTAGTAAAATCTTGGTAGTTTGTCATCAGAAGTCATTGAGACAACTTCCTAAGTGTATCAGCTAATATTTTTGTATTTTCCTGAATAAATCCTTATAAAAACACAGTTCAACGAATATTTCAATACTTCAACATTAAAACATAAAAATATTGTCTCTTGATCGCAGTCATACAATTATTAGCAGATACACTGGCTCGATGACTCCTGTTCGGAAAAGTGAAACAGTGTAGAACAATCGAGTCGTGAAGGGAGTCACAATATGAGTCATAATCGGAGTCATTCATTTGTCCAAAGTGATTCAAACTTGATGTGACTCACTCTTCATGAGTCGTAAGAAACGAGCTAGATTCTTACTCCATTTTGAAGGCAATGAGTCAGTCGAGTCAAAGAATCAGAATTGATACATTGAACGTTCGGAAATCTTAAGTCCCATAAATCTTTATCGTTTCAAAACTTAAGCTATTACCCAAAAACAAACAACTCAAGATTTCTGAACGTTCATTGTATGACTTATTGATTGCATGAGTGTGCGGGAAATTCATGACTTTCTGTTTCGCGCACCAATACTGCATGTAGATTTTTGATGATTTCTCTGGAATTTCTGCTCGTCACTGCATCCTGGTGCGAACAGAAATTCGGGGAAAATTGGAGAAAACTGATTGATCAAATTACACGCACATAGAAAAGAGAATCAGTAGACCCTGCGAATTCCATTGGTGAAACGTCAAACTACCAATAGATTTATGAGAAATTAGTGCTATTAAAAGCGAAACAGAAAGTCATGAATTTCCCGCACACTCATGCAATCAATAAGTTTTGAAACGATAAAGATTTATGGGACTTAAGATTTCCGAACGTTCAATGTATCAATTCTGATTCTTTGACTCGACTGACTCATTGCCTTCAAAATGGAGTAAGAATCTAGCTCGTTTCTTACGACTCATGAAGAGTGAGTCACATCAAGTTTGAATCACTTTGGACAAATGAATGACTCCGATTATGACTCATATTGTGACTCCCTTCACGACTCGATTGTTCTACACTGTTTCACTTTTCCGAACAGGAGTCATCGAGCCAGTGTATCTGCTAATAATTGTATGACTGCGATCAAGAGACAATATTTTTATGTTTTAATGTTGAAGTATTGAAATATTCGTTGAACTGTGTTTTTATAAGGATTTATTCAGGAAAATACAAAAATATTAGCTGATACACTTAGGAAGTTGTCTCAATGACTTCTGATGACAAACTACCAAGATTTTACTAATTCTTAAACGTACATGCTTGAATATTCCTTCGATATTTTCCCACTCAATAATAGTTGTAACCAATTAAATGAAATATTATTGAAAACATTATTTTTGGATTGGACTATTGAAGAAAATAGTTTCAACTAAATACATAAGAAAAGAATGCGTTTGCGAAGATGCATAAAATGCAAAACACATTAATACTTCTCAACATCTCGACAAGGAAATTTGGCAATAAAATAAAGGTCGAAATGGTATATCTTTGTTATTGTCGACGACGTCATATACGCAAATGTGCTCAAATTTGTGTATGTGCACAAAAAGAAATAAGAAAGCATAGGTAGCAATAGAATGCAGTGCTAGGGGAATATCACGCTTAAATTATTTCAAATATTTCAAAAAAATCCAATTTATCTCTAAGAATCTGTCGTATGAAATATGGTGGATATTTGTGAATATGGCGGAATATTGTGGATTTTTGTGATTATGAACGATATTTAAATGTATTTATTCGGATTTAATGCAAAAAATCTCAAATATCTCCAAAGTCCACAAAAATCTGATTTATTTATTCGAAATATTCGAAAATATGTCATACAATTGATGTTTATTTCAAATATCTCAAATATCTCACAAGATTCAGGAGCGTGATATTCCCCTAGATGCAGTGCCGATATTGCTACACCAGCATTCATCCGAAAAAAATCGATTTCGGACATTTGCCATGAAAATGTACCGAAAACCAATTTTTCCGAAAATGTCTACAATTATCGCTCGGCCACCAGACAAGATTTTTGCAAACTGAAAACGCCATTCGACAGCACTATTCGAGCACTATTTTTTACATATTCTGGTTTACCAGCACTATTTCCGGGCGGTGCTGATGACATGTACCTTAATTCTCCGGAATATAAACCTTAATTTGAACTAAAATTGTAATAATTTTGAGCAATTTTTTTTTACTTTTTGAAACTCTCCCATCTCTCCAAGGTGAGGAGCAGCCCCGAAAAGGACGTCGTGTAATTTTTTAGAGTCATTTGAATGAATTATCTGAAAAAATCATGCCCCCCTGACCAGTTTTTCTGCAATAAATACGCCAATCGATATTTTGATATGCGATTTTTCGAAAAAATTCAGAAATACCCGTCCAGGGGGCAGCACCAAAATCGTGAAGGGTGTCATTTGGCAGCACTAAAATAGCACTAAATTGTGGGGTATACGAGAAATCAGAATAGTCAAGCGTTAGGGTGGTTTTCATACAAAGTGAAAGAAAATGACATGAAAATTTCGAAACAATTCAAAAATACCCGTCCATGGGGCAGCACCAAAATCGTGGGGGGTGTCATTTGGCAGCACTAAAATAGCACTAAAATAGCACTAAATTGTAGGGTATACGAGGAATCGATAATGTCAAGCTTTCGAGAAAATCCCATACAAAGTGGCCAAAACGACATGGTCAGTTTTTTCAAAATCAAAAATTTTCGCATAGAGGGCAGCACTAAAATCATGCTAGGTACCAATCGACAGCACTAAATTAGCACTAAATTTTGGTATATAGGACGACCCAGCACTAAATTGGGGTGGGGCCAACGACATCGACCTCTCAATTTCGCCTCATTAACCAAATGATGTTTGATGCTTTTGTTTGATAACCGAATGATTTTGATCGTGATTACTTGAAATAGAGAGAGAAAGAGAGAGAGAGAGAGAGAGAGAGAGAAAGAGAGAGAGAGAGAAACTATTAATGATTATGGACGTAATCCAGTTGGAATCAGAATTTGAATTGAGTATCGATTAGTTGGAGGTGCTTGTTCACACCTCGCTTCTTTGTGTTTTCAATTCACATATTCACAAGCAATTGACTTTTTGAAGTAATCGTTCAGTGTAATTGGAGGAATTCTATTCATTTCCTATTCTATGTATATTTATTTGAATAAATGGCAAGAAACCAAAGTGTGGAATTAAAAAGTAAATGTTTTGAGTTAAAACCAAAGACTTTTAATTTTATTTCACTGAACATGACTCCTTTGTAGTCAATAAAGAGCCGCGATGTGATACACAATAACAGCCGACTGCACACGTTCAACCATTTTCTCAATAAAGAAGGAAAACCTACTCGTAAAAGTGTTGTGTTCGTTTTTATGAGTCCAAATCGAATTGATAAATCTCATTGTTCTTCTTTTTTCTTTCATTCTTAGGTCCACCTAATTGGTTAATACCGGAGCTCTTCTCCCTACACTCTCCATGATGGTGCTATATGACTTGTTTTTTTACTTATCCGATTTGCCGCGGTGGCACATATTCGCGGTGTTCTTAGTGGGATATTTTGTATACTATCTCATCGAAGTAGTTAAGGTTGGTTGAAATTCTGACAGAGTGAAATCATTCTACGTGTTTTGCCCATACTTTAACAAATCATAGTTTATCATTCATAACGCCATTTTTCCCATTGTAATGATGATATTTAATTGTTGTTCTCTTTTATTACATTTTTTTTGTTTTCACACTCGGAATGATAGCGACCAATTTTGGCTGTTGATGAAGGACCATTCAAGCAATACTTGTTGAAAAATGTGCCCATGTTGCAATTAAAATTTTGGCCAACATTTTGGTGTTGTGAAAGTCGTGCTCAAACTGTGTTTGCCAGTTTATTGCGACAACAAGTGTTGCCATCATTAAATTATCGCCGTGAATTGCTCACGCTAAAGGATGGCGGCGAAATTGCATTGGATTGGAGTGAGCGAAATTGTACGGATGAATCGCCTGTGATTTTAATTTTACCTGGTTTGACTGGAGCATCACAGTCAGAGTATATCAAATGTTTGGTTTCGGCTGCAAATGGAATTGGCGCTAGAGTTGTTGTGTTCAATAATCGTGGACTAGGTGGGGTTGCTTTAAAGGTAAATTGTTCAATGTTACCGGTTTTTGTGACTCGGATTTTTTTTGAACATGGTTTTGAAATTCTGACCTTTCTTTGAAAAAAAAACATCACTTTTAATTAGACGCCTCGACTCTACTCGGCCGCCAATGTGGAAGACTTGTCCGAAGTGCTGCAGCATTTACGTAAATCATATCCAAATTCAAAAATGGGTGCGACCGGAATAAGTATGGGTGGTTTAGTACTTGGAAACTATTTGTCACGACACAGCGAAGAGTCGCGGAATATCTTCACCGCTTGTAAAATCATATCCGTTCCATGGGATGTGCAGAAGGGAACAGTCAGCATTGAAAAGCCGTACTTAAACAGCATGCTCGGCAAACATTTGACAAGTCGACTCTGTCACACACTCAGCCAGTATGAAATTCTTAACAAAAGCCGCCATGACATCGATTTCGATCAAATTCTAAAAAGTAAAACAATCAAAGAGTTTGACAGCAATTTCACATCGAAACATTTTGGCTATAAGGATGTTGATCATTACTACAGCGTGGCCACACTTCACAACAAACTGCACAAAATTTCCGTAATATAACTTATTGAATTTAAACCATTTAATTTTCATTAATGCTAACAATATTTTTTTTTTACAATTAATTAGGTTCCGTTGCTTTGCTTGAGCGCTGCTGACGATCCATTTCAACCACTTGAAGCAATTCCAACGATAGCAGCCGAGCAATCGAGCCATGTGGCCATCGTTGTGACTGCACGTGGCGGTCATATTGGATTCATGGAAGGTGTTTGGCCAAAAACTGGCGACGAATACATGGCACGGCTCTTCACACAGTACTTTTGTTCAACATTGTTCGATGACGAATTTAAAAATGTAACGGAAAACATGTTAAAAACTTACCCAAGACACCCTGATCAAGATCCAGTTGATCTTAGTTCCAATTAATTGTGTTACTGCAAATTAGCATCACTAGAATTAAAAAAATATTAATCGTGAAGACAAAAAAAAGCAAACATAGGAAACAAACAGTTATTTATTCGGTGTTAAAAGATTCTTTATATTTATAAAAATCCAAATAATAATAAATTGCAAATTAAGTGCCGTTTGAACAGAGTTATCCATTTTGTTTAGGGTAGAGAAAGGGTTTTCTAGTTAAACAATTATTGTGAAAATGAAGCAAATATGTATATCAAAACAGAAAAAAAAAACAGTTGCCTTACTAGTCGTAGTGTGATACAATGAATGAATAAAGCAGATTTATTTATTTAAAACGATGATTGTGCAATGATTCTTTTTTCCCCTCTACCCACATCACTCTCTAGCATGCTAGCGTGTGCATTGTTTCCCTTTCCGTATACATTGCGTTGCAATTATTTTTGATTATAATGATTCAAATGTCAAATCAAGCTTTATTGAATCGAGTTGAAGGTGTCAACTAGAATATTCTACAAATTGCATGATTCTTTTTCATTGCATTATCATGATCAATCACATTGTGACTTCGATAAATGGCCAGTTTTTGACTAGGTTTTTGAAATATTCACAATTGTACTTGTAGAAAAATAGATTGTGCAAAATCTGCTGTAATGTCGTAAAATTAACAGTTGTTCGACCGAATGGCCGGTTTTTGGCAATATATTTTGTCCACATTTAATCATTTCTGTCATACAAGGAATGTGTTTGGAAGGAAGTCACAATAATTTTGTGTTGTGATGTTCAGCAAAATTGTTTCTCTTATCAAAATCTATAATTTTATCAACTCGGGAAATCCAAAAGTTCCACCATTCTTGGGAAAACTATGAGAAATTTGGACTTGATTCACAAAACATGATTTTTCACTATGAAAGAGTGGATTTTTTTGAGCGCTATATTTATACAAGTTGTTCTACATAGATAGAGCTAAAATCTCACTCAGTTTGAGTTATAGGCCATGCATGAAACACCCGGATCATCGAAGACTCGCTAATAACACAAGTGTAAGTGTATATACATCAGCGCCATACCGTGAAAAAAATTCAGATGGGCTCAGCCCCGGTGATTTTGTCCAAAAATGATGAATGCGTGAAATTCATAAAATTCCAGATGATGCTCAACCTCAAACGCTTGTATGGACAGTACAAGCTTGTATGGACGGACAAATGTAAGAGTAATGTTAAAAAAGCAAGAAAAAACATTCTTCAAATAAATAAACGAAATTGCATGCTATTTAGTCTGAATTGGATATACGACATATGGATATATTATGTATCACCTTGATTATGCATTCGCCCGGTTCACTCTTATTTATATCCTCGCTAACAAAGCACGGGCTGCGCTTTTAATAGCTTAATTTTCCGAAAACAAAAAAATGAACATAAAATAACACATTTTTTTGTTCAATTTTACTTGGTAGGTAAAAAATAACGAAAACCTATCTTTTTTTGTCGAGTTCGGTGCAAAGAAAAAGAGATCAATCTTCACCTGCAACGAAATGAGTACTAGAAATTCAGTGTAACGCTCATAAGCTTCCAACCCGATGGTCAATCGTGAATAAAAAAGAATATTCGAAAACTTTTTCATTTATAAGCTTTTGAGGCATTCCAAGAAAAAAAAATACTTCAATTTTGGTTGATCAAGCTTTGCCGTTCAATCGACTTGAGCTTGAATTTAGTTTTGGATTATGATCGAAAGAGGGCGCCGTGGAAGTGGCAGCAAATAGAAAAAGAACTCAAACGAGTTACTTCGTTGCGCCGTTGAATGATGCATTAAGAAGTGATTGTTCAACTTGATAAGTGTCTTCTAAGCACAATAGCATTGATAAATATTCTATTCAATTATCACTTACAGGTTACAGCAATAGTTGAATAGATTTCACGGAAACGCGACGTACAATCCAACTGAAAAGACTGTACAAAAACATCCACTTTTTTTTGTTGCTTGAAACAATGAGTTGGCATCAATGAAATTGTAGTGTCATCCATCATCACTGATCTCGTGACGACTTGTTTACGAGCAGAAAGAGAGAGAGAGAGAAAGATTCTAGATAAAGGCGACAAAAAAAGTTGAAATGGGAATTTTAGCCAGGTTGACCGCAAAGAAACCAATTCAACTAACTAATCAAGAGCATAATCTGAAAAACCGCTTTTATTCATGTTATGAAGTCGCACGTGTTGCTTCCAGCAAAATATTCTATTGGGAATTTTTCAGAGCGATAATTCGTGCGGCCGAAATCACCGTCGTATCAGGTGTGTTTTTATGGAGAATTTTTCCAAATTTTCTACAAATCAGAATATGTCTCATCGCATTGATATTGATTATTCGATCGTTTTGAATCACCGTTTCATATCATGAAAACTGATATGACACTTTGACGGTCAACATTTACGCAGATTTCGTTGCAAATTTAAGAAACCATTTCGATCATTGTGCAATACTCCAATGGAATTTGAATTCTCTGTGTATGTGTGTGTGTGCCATTTTTGCGCATCGAAACCACCGATTATGATGCAATCGATAACGATTTGGTTTTTTTTTCTCTTCTCTTTTCGGTAGTAAATAGCATGTTCATAACATTCCGAGCATGTTTCATCATGCGTCGAACAAATCGCTTTCTAATTAATTAAAACCTTCAATATTGACCCCATTTAAAATGTTCGCAATTATCTGTCCAGGAGTTCTTGTAAATAATTACTAGTGTTTGCACCTAGGTGTGCACACGTAAACGAACAGATTTGCTTTCTTTGGACATTACATGACAAAAGATCGATTCTTTTGTCAATCATCATCAACTGTTCCACGCTTCGATTTGGTAAATGGTAGAGAACCTTGAGTTTAACTAGATTTCCGAAAAAAAATCGCATTTCATGTTCACTCCAAAGCTGTGACGACAACACTATCCTTATTCACGTGCACATCAAATCGATAAATTAGAAGAAGAGACGAAAAGAAATCGCCAATTATAAAAGCACGCAATAAAAGTGACAAACGAATATCACAGCAAATTGATACAAAAACTTTCCTTAACATGATTACGAACGTTTTCGATTTGGTGTCGTACGTCAATCGATTTAATCGGCACAATGATTCGAAACAAAAGACACATCATTCGCCGCATGAATATTTCGAGTTCGGAAAACCGAACGAAGAATCATCTCAATATGTTCCGTTCAAATATTTTAGGTGAAGCCATTTTTTGTTGTCACTTGATTACAATTTGTATGGCTTGTCGCTTGTCTGTGGACAATACATGAAATTAAGAAAGATTGAGAGAAAGAAAGAAACCAAACAAAATCCCAAAACGATTATTTCCTGTTTTTATGTTCGATTGTCCAAGTATGTGGGATGTTTGGATATGTCCTTTTGAGCTGGTTGACATTCATTCAAATGGCGCCACATCTACAAAATTTCATGCAATATATCTTGCATCATTACGCGAGCGTGAACGCGTGAACGCGTGAACGCGTGAACGCGCGCACGCCATCAGTGTGATTCCCATTAAATCACAATTGATTGAATTGCCGCGATGACTTTCAACCAAATTCACTATTTCTACTCACGTGTATTTGCGAGGTAGCCGCATCATAAGTCGTACCGTGCGATTATTCAGAACTTAAAAGATAAAAAGAAGCGCATGCAGATAAGAGGAAAAACCGAATTAATTTGGTATAAAAATAAACAATCCCGAACAGGTAAACAAACGTGAGTTACCGTAAGAATGACTAAGATTCAACTACGTCAGTACCCGGGATTTCGTGGAGATTAGTCCGAGTCACTACAAAACATATGGATCATGCATACGCACGCACACGCACACAGGCGAATCGAAGAAGAGTAGAAAAAAAACCTGACCGGAAACCTAATGTCTACGTCACTGTCCGAAAACCACAACAAATTCGACGCAAAATGGGATTTGCACTCGGGATTAATCCAACATTTAATATTGGGCTATGATTGACGTTATTTTATGTCATTTATTTTTGGCATTCCATGTGGAACGATATTTTGAACGGCATTTTATTTCAAACGTTGCCACATCATAATATCGACTCTGAATGCTCATCGATCAAACAATTCATCGATACTGCAGAGATATCAAATGAAATTCGTGTAATTCGAATTACAAACTATTCAAATTTGATCAAAAGACACATTGCCTGGTTATCTTCATTCAAAAAAAAAGAACATGCAAACGTATTCAGGTAATTGACCGTAATGGTTTACCGCCAGTGAATTTGAAATATAAAAAAAAACATTTGAGGGTAAATTGCAAATGGCTTCGGAATGGTGAATAACAATCAGCGTTGTGATTTCGGGTTGAAGAACTCATATTAAATACTTGACTCCCTGCACGTTGTACATTGACAACAACATCTATTAGCATTTGTTCCGAATTGATCGAAAATCGGTTGTTTTTCAATGTATCCGAATGCTGGATTTACGCAAAAGAATGTTCGAGATACAAAACATAAGTTCAAGTATGGTTTTCAAACTGTTATTCGAGAAGCGAATTATTATAGCGTACGATTCGCGACGACGAGGGTTTATTAATCTACATATTTTATTTGATACCATATCTGATTCAATAATAACAATACTAGAATCACATTCAAAGCAGATTTTAGACGTCATTGAGTGCGGCTAATCGGTTGTAAGTCAGACGAATGCAAGAAAGAGAGGCTTAACTGATTTACACTGTATATTCCGTTGATAGCAGCTGATTTTGCATATTCATGTTGTTTCGCGCGCAAGTGACAAACGACAGATAACCTGGTCCAAAGGAACTAAACAGTACCAAATGTTGTGTTTATGTTTTTTTTCTTCTTTCTGTGTTGAAAGACCCACTCACTTTTTTTGCGTATCAACATCATGAAAGTGCTAACACTATGAATATCTATTTTTAGCTCTGAATTTGTTAAAATTAACCTGACCTAAGAAGAATACGTATTCAAAATAAGTAATCTATCGTTCATAAAATGCGAGTGATGCTAAAATTTGCATTTGGGGTTGTTTATGTTTTGTGGAAAGAAAAAAACTGTGAAGCATAGTGATCCAACCTCTGGACACAGAAAAAAAATTCACAACTCAATTGACAATGCAAAAAACAAGCGCCGAAAACAAACGCGTATATGTAAATTGGTATTTTGGATCATTCCGACAGTTAGATCCAGTTGATTGATCAGAAGAATTATTTTTGTTTCCATTTTATTGCGGTCACAAACTGAATTGTGAGAATTGAGAGAATTGAGCAGATGGAAATTTTTCTTTTGTTCGCTACGTTTGGTTTATGTTACGT